GAGAAAGTGAATAGCATGAGCAAAGACACGGAGCTGTCAAACAGTAGAAACTGTTTGGGGAACTAGGTTGGTATGGCTGGGAAACAAGTGTCAGGGGGTAGTCAAAAATGACTATTTTATTAAAGTGACCAGTTTATTTATTTATTTATTTTGTTGACGTGATCTAGGAAAGCATTCTTTTCTAGATACTTAAACTTCAGTATATTTATTCCCTGATCATTATCTCGTCCTTACAGCTCTCTTGCATTATCATTTCTACTATACCTGCCAGGTAACAGAGATCTGTAACACTTTGGGTATAAAACAATAGGAAGTTGCAGTGCCTATGCCTAACTGCTGAAGCCTGCATGACCTACCCGAAGGCATTTAAATTTAATGAAAAACACAAACACATTCATGCTTCTCCAGTAGGACTATAATGTTTACAGCATACAGTTAGTACAATTCAGTGATTGTTCTTCTTTTGCATTCTATGGATACCATATCTTCTCTTAGCTCTCTGAGGATATTAATGATAATGTTTTTGTTCAAATTGAATTTCACTTCACATTAATAGAAATTGTGAAAAAGATATACATTTTTCAATGTTAACAGCAAAACATTTCAACAGAATAAGAAAATTTTTACTATAAATAAGCTCTTGCTGATTTGTGTTGATGAAAACAACAGTGTATATTCAAGTTTTAAAAAAATGATTTAGTACACGATTGTCTAGATATTTTAAACCCAGACATGAAATGTATGGCTTTATTAACATTCGATATAGTATGTTACTAAATTATTCCATCATCAGTGCCATTTATAAATATGCATTTATAAAATTGTTTTGATTAGCTATATTTTGGTGACTTTGGTTAAGTTCAACAATATCAAACCAAGAAGACACAGCCATGCTCACATATAACCGAACATATATAATGGTAACAGACATAATCAGCGTGTGAACAAAATATATTGGATATGTGAATTTCTGGTACTCGCAAGGACATGTATCCCCTCCATACTCATCCATGCCCCATAACTCCTGATCCATGGAGGAAACAAAACACAGAAATTGACTCTCAGATGATAAGCATGAATGGTGGGAAGTGTTATATTATAAGCACCAGGCCCAGTTGAGAGCAGTCTTTGGAACTGGAAGCGGGAGGTAGGTTTCTTCTTAAGGGTTGGTGACTGTGGTTTCTGGGATTCTCCTCTTGCCACAGGAATGAGCCTGTGTGCCTTAGGCTGTGATTTTGTTTTTCTCTTCCCAGCTTTGTCTCTGTTTCCTCAGAGTTCCTTTCTTTAGTTTGGTCTTTCACAGTAGAGGCTCTTCCCTAATACCCGGTAAACCTTGTTTGTCCATATTTAAATGATCCCTCATTTGCTGTTGCCTCCTTTCTTGTTCTCTTCGAATTTGTGATTTTTATACCTTTTCATTCATTTACTTTTTAGTGAGGCTTTGGGAGGACCCAGAGTTAAATACATATGTTCAATATGCCATGTATAAAAATGCCCCTTTTGAAAAAGAGTGTTAACTTTTTAATAACAAAGATAGATTTAGTTAAGTAGACAGTAAGTTCTAAAGGTCTTTCCACTACTAAATATCTGCTTTCTCGAAAAACATCGCAACTCAAAGCAAGCACTCTAATACTAATTGATAGGAGTACAGAGATCAGAAGATATTTGGGCATAGAAAAACTGGGTCATTTTGGTTTTATTATAATAAACTTAATTTCAAGAAGCTGTTATAAGGATGCTGTATTGCTAAGCCCCATTTTCTGCCTGCCTTATTTTGTATAGTAGTGGATTCAACAAAATTGTAATATAATAAAACAATTTGGTTACTTCCTTGAAATTCATTTTAGTGATATGTTTTCTCTGGATAGCCAGATATATATCAAACACATGTATCCAGCTGTAATGACTTCTGTCATTGTAAAATTCATGTTTTGGTTAAGACTTGCAGTTATAGCAAGCAGCTTGGCTACTGCATACCCATTGCTAGATTTCCTAGTTAATTTTTCGTGAATTATGATTTTAAATTATTAATATTTCCTTTGCTCTATTTTCTTGGCATCCCTTTTTGTCTTCCCACCTTCCTGTCTACATCAAGAATTAGTAAACTTTGAGTGCTAAATATGCTACCAGTGAGAGTAAGCCATGCTAACAGATATGACTGGTAAGACTAAGGCATGGGCAGAGAAGAAGAGAGAAAATATAAGGAAGAAGTAAAGTAGGGGAAAAGGTCATAAAAGAGAAGACAGGTTGGTGAGGGTTGTTTTACGATAGTTGATTTAAATGGCTGCTTTGATTTTTCTATAGCATTTGCCTATAACTATATCACATAGTAAAATTAAGGTCTGAATATATGTTTAATCTTTTATTTTATTGTTATTTGTTTTCTTATTGACCACAGGATTGAAAACTGAAAACTCTCATTTTATTTCAGGGAAAGCAGCCTTATCTCCAGGCTTTGTTGTCACTGTATAAGTTCTTTATTCCTACTTTGATTTCTGTATCTTTGCCTGTAAAGAAGAAGGTAAGGGATTAAGGAGCAATGAGTCATATTGAGATTGAAATATGCTGTTCTTGATGAAAATAATTTACAAATTTGGACTATAATGTTTACAGCATACTGTTTTAAGATCTACTTTGTGGCATTGTTTCTGGGAAGTATTTTTTAGAGATTGGCACTATGTTTTGATTGCATTCGATGTAATTAATTGATTCCTGATCAGTAAATCTTTAAATGGATTTGTATGGGTACAAAATATTTCATAATACACATTCAATTAATGAAGAGTTTGGATTTTATATTGCTTCAGCTTGTAGGTTCCTACTCTCATGTACTTTATATTCAAATTTATAGATCTTTTTTAAGAATTCAGAGAATCTGTGGAAGACAGCTATATTTGCTGTGAGGCAAAGGAATCAGGGACCTTCTCCAGAACCTCTAAAGCTGATGTTAGGTCCAGCTAATGTCCGTCCTGGAAAAAGAGTAAGTATCTAAAACCCCAAATGACTTGAGAGGCCTTTTTAAAATAAAGCCTAACAATAACCATTCAGATGTTGGAAGAGACTATAGATATTTAAATACATTTTTATTAATCAGGATTCTATGCAAACCACATTCAAGCTCCATTCATTGAACCACCTTAACGACTGCTTTTACATTTATATTTTGTAGTCTGTTCAGTCCATTGATAGATTGGTTTATTCTCTTTCTTCTTTAGAAATGGAATTCTCCGTCACTTATACCAGTGCTAGATTCCAGTAGCCACAGTAAAGAATATGGAAAAAAAGGAATGAGTCTTTCTGATTATCTTGGTAGGAATAGATCATTTCCAGTAGAACAGCTTAAAAGCTTCCCTCAGCTCTTACAGAACATTCATTGCTTAGAGGTATGTGACTGGACCATGTGCTGATTTGCATTTTCCATTTGCTCTTCATGGCCTTTCTTTTTGTGATACATTTCCTATCTGTTGATTTACTTGTTGCTCTCACCTACTTTTATATACTTATGTAAAGTTGACCGATTGTTTTGTCTTTGCAGCTGCCTTCTCAGATGGGTGCAGTGCTGAACAATTCTCTGCTACTTCACTATATTAACTGTGTCAGAGATCAATCAGTCTTACTGAGGCTCTATCATTGGTTGAGTCAAACATTACAAGAAGGTAGAAAACTGATACTTAAAAGTTGGATGAATGAGGAAGGAACAAGATAGTTTACAAATGGGTTTCTTTTATAAGAGTGTCAAATTCTAGACAGGAGGAGCCTTCATATGCTGTAATTATTTCTCTGGTAATCATATATTCAGAGCCTGAATGCTTCCCTTGTTATAATTTTAAGGGCAGTAAGAAAGTAGGTGTGTTGTTAAGGAAATACTGCTAGATGGCCACCAAAGCTCACTGGGTGACTCCACTTTGATGACCATCACAATCCAAGGACTCTTTATTTTTGTATGTCCGAAAACTTGCCATTAAGCCCCTAGAATCTTAAAAGCAATGCTAACCAAACTCAGAGGGGACAATTGCATAAACCAGAATGTCACCTTATTATTTCATAATGGAAGTAATTCTGGCAACCAAAACGTTCATGTCTGCCAACTAGAATAGCTCCTTTCTTAGGCTATTCAATATATATGGGAGCCAAATTAGTCATTAGAAGATTTTCTAATTATAGAATTGAAGGAAAGGGCAGCGAGGAAGTTTTTCATCCAGGCCATAGTAAATCTGATCATTTTATTCTTCCAAGGGGGTCGATTTTTCTAGAGATAGTATTTTGTTCCCCAGATTGTTTCTGTCCTGAATAAGTAACTCCTGACTCCTCATGTGTTTAAAAGTTGGTTTAAGTCATTCCAGGTTAACTCTCCTTTTTCTGCTTAGAGACTTCCTTTAGGTAGGATATGATACAGTTAGATTTGCACTTACAAGAGTCCTGCCACTCTTAGATTACCCTCAGCTCACTGTAGTTGAAGTTCAGAGCATTGGCAAACTTGAAATTCATACATTCATAGTCTCTTGGATTACTATGTGACATAAAGCAAATCACGTTCATTATATGTGAATTTTAGCAGTTGAATTTTTCACATACACTTTCCTCCTGTATTACTAAGTTCTTGAAGAACTTCTCACTATCGCTTCCATGTACTGTTGGACTCTACACTGCGAGTTGGCTAGGGTATATGAGACTGATGGCTTGTTTATATTTCTCATTTTTTTTTGTCACTTTAGAGTTATGGTAATTATGTTTTATGCAGTTGTTATTGTACAACAGGATGCTAATGTTTAATATTTCTGCTTCAGAATGTATTTGGTACAAGGTGAATAATTATGAACATGGGAAAGAATTTGCTAACTTCCTGGACACTGTCATCAGAGCAGAGTGCTTCTTACAAGTAAGATTCCACTTCTTACTAAAATTTATTTGGATAGCCATTGAAAACCTTTTCTTTAGTGCTCAACATCTTTTGTAAACAATATTTGCTTAATTCAAAATTCATAAGTAGAGCTGAGTTGAATTGACATTTGTCTTCGTACTATTGGATTTAAAGAAAGAATTTGTTAAAGTATGCAAATAAGTGAGAATGGCCTGTAATTTAAGAGCACATACTGAAGATGTACTTGAATGTATTTGATTAATCGAGTAAGCCAGTAAGATAAATCTCATAGGGTCACTCCTTGTATTCTTAAAATCAACATTGTTCAAATGTCAAATATGTTTTATTTGGCCTACATAACCCTCAGTTGTACTTTAAGCTACAACTCAGCTATCAGCACTATCAAGAAGCCTTTACTCAATACCCCAGTGTGGGTTAGATGTTTGTTCTGTGTGCGCCCGTGGCTCTCTATGTTTACCTGTATCATGGTACTTTTCAGCATCTGTTTCTCTATACATTATAACCTCCCAGCGGGTGGGAACCCTGTCTAAATTTTCTTCATGTACAGGCGTTCAGCTTGGTACCTGGTACAAAAGAGATGCTCAATTAATGTTGTTGAATAAATCTCAAGGATTTGGTGTGAGACCATTGAGTTGGAGTTGGGTGTGAATGATGCTGATGAGGATAAAGAGATGAATTTAGGTTGCTTTTTAGGTTTCCTGCTTGGGAAGATGATGATGGAATTCAGTGAGAAAGGGACTAGAGGAGGAGCAGGGTTGGAAAGAAAGATAAATTTGATTTAAAAGATGTCTGTGGGACATCTAAGAAGTCATATCCAGAAGGCAGTTAGATAAGGAGTCTGGAGCTCAGGAAAGAGAATTAGGCTAGAGACACAGATTGAAGACTCCTTATGATATAGGTGGTGGTTTTAGCTATGTTATTGGTGAGATTGTCCAGAGAATTCATGTCATGAAAAGGTCCAGAATAGAGTCCTGGTGTGCACTACTATTTAAGGCTCAGGGTGACAAAGGATAAAAGGAAGGCCCTAGGGTCTTACTTTGGTGGAAATGTAAATAGCCTAGATACTCAGTCCTCTCCAGATGGAGTTGCCCAGAGTTTGGGTTTGTTCTGTGGCCTCTAATGAAATTCCAGCCTCACTGTCTAACGTTGTATACATTTAGTGACTGTTCAAGTGACTGCATGTTCTCCAAAATAGTACAATTTTATTTCTCTTTAAAAATATTCCGTAACTTGACTTTTTACCTTCTTTCTAATTGATGAAGTTTATGGTGTTTGGAAACTCTATTGATAAAGATGCTGATATATCCAAATATTAATCATCTGATCCTTTTTATGAAGAAGTCTGGTACCTAACTCAAGACTTTGAATTATATTGATGACAAAATTAGTCTAAGAGTAAAACAACTAAAGCATAGAATAAACTGGTTGTTTAGAGAGCAGTTAAAACCGAAGAGTTCCATATAAGGTTTTACCATTGACTTATGTTACAGGAGGGGTTTTATTCCTGTGAAGCATTCCTATATAAGAGCCTTCCTCTCTGGGATGGCTCCTGTTGTCGGTCACAGTTCCTTCAGCTTGTGTGCTGGATTCCTATTAGTAACTTCTCTGGTACGTATCATTGAAATTTTGGGTGTCAGATATAATTCAATGTAATATTAAATAAAAGTATTTTGTATAATCTTTTTTTTTAATTTCCTAGAGGTGAAACCAGTTATTTTTGACCATCTAACACAGCTCTTCTTTACATCAACCATTTATTTCAAGGTAAAAAAAAAAAAACAAAAAAACTATCTAGCTTAGATTCAGTGGGAACCGTTATTCTATAGCCAATGGTCCATGATTCCAAACCCACGTTACGGCAGTGGTTTTCTAACAGAATTCTCTTGGACCTAAACTTGAGATGCTGCATCACTGAAATCAAAGTTAATGTATAGAGTTTTCTGCTTTCAAGGTTTTTGTTGCATATAGTTTTTCTAAACTGTTGTCGCTTATAGCAGATGACAAAATGAATGAGCAGGTGGCAAATGAGTATTAATAAAAACAGACTGGAGAACACTTAAGCATAGTTAGTTTGATCATAGTGGTTGATATTTTTGTAGATACACTTATTCATTTCACCAACATTTATTGATTACCCACTATGTGCTAGATATCCTTTTTGACACTGGAAATACAGTAATGACCAAAGTAAACATGTGATATTCATATTCATATTGTATATTTATAATATAGTCATTTTCTGCTAATAAAATTGTTCCAACCTTATATAGTAAATTGTGTTACTATTTTGAGGCATTCTCTGAAAAGACCACTGTGGCTTTCAATTCTACCTGACTGAGTTTGAAAGCCACTTTCTTACAGAATGGTTATTTCTATTCCAAAAGAATGACAATATAAGTAATGTTTCTTTTATAACTTTTTTTTCCACAAGAAATCACCTACTATTGGCCACATTTACAGGAAAAACATGTTGTCCTGGTAACTTACTACTAGACCAATATCATTCATATGATAATACACTCCACTTCTCTCAGTTAATATATTTTCAGGCCCTTCATTTTACAACTTTTTGTGATTTTCTTCCTATCTTCTAATTAGGTTATTCTTTATTTCTTCTCTTATTCCACGAATCTAGAGAGCTATTTATCTGTCAGTTTTAGGTTGAACCATATGAAGTTGCCATTTTTGTAGACCAGGGATGTTTAACGATTGGCAATTCCATATGTTCCAGCCTAATAAGTAAATAATACATTTATACACACATACATATATTTATATTTGAGAGTGGGGGTGGGGAGAGGAAAGGATGGAGGAAGGGAAACAGTGGGCCAACGACAGAACTCGGGAATACTCATTTAATTTTCAGCTGAAAAGGAGAGTCTAAGAAGGAACTTTTTCATGAAGTATGAAAATGTAATGTTATTAACCATTGTTACCCCAATAAATTTAATTTTTAAAAAAGTATGAAAAGAATCAGGAGAGCAATAGTGCCAAGGAAACAGAGAATACAGGATATCAAGGAGTGAAGGAACAATATTGCCATGTATCTCAGGAAGGTCCAGAAAGATAAGGACCAAAAAAAATTGTTTTGGAATTGATAATACAGAGGTTTTAGGTACCTTTGTGAACAGTTTCTGTGGAGTATGGGGGTGAAAGCCAGATTGTAGAAGTTGAGTCAATGAGAAGTGAAGACAAGACAGTGAGTATAGAATATGTTTCAAAGAGTTTGGCTAAAAGGAAGAGGTAGAAAGATAGCTATAGTGGGATTTTGAATCAAGGGATGGTTCTGGGGGTTTTTTGTTTTGTTTTTATTTGCTTCCAATGTGAGAAAAAACTGAGCATATTTATAGGTAGAATAGAAAGAGCCAGTCAAGAAGAGGGAGAGGTTGGAAATGGAGGATAATTGACAATGCAGGATTTCAGAAGTACGAAGGTACTAGTTTAAGACAAGATTATTTGCTCGGATGGATGTTGAGGGATTGGGAGGTAGCACTTATTCTTAAGACTGGGAGCAAGGACATATGGCTAGGGATATATATTCATACAGTTGGAAGAAAGGGCAAGATGTCGAAATACCTTGTACCTAAAAATGTTAAATTTCTCAAAATAGAAAGTGTGTTTTAGAGGACAGAATTGAGTAGGGGGTTTAGGAGGATATTATGTGCTTAGGACAGCTGCTGAGAAAAATAGAGAGAACTGCTTAAAGACAAGTAAAAGGATTATTGAGCTTCATTAAGGGCCCATATGAAGTTGGAGACCATAAATTTGGCGTGGTACTAACCTTTATAGTTGTGTGTTTTTCTTCAGCTCAGATGTAGGATTGATTGGAGAACATAAGTTATGAGTTGGAAGAAATCATTTAAGGTTTTGCTGGTTAAATGGAGTACAAGGGCATTGTGAATGATTAACAATGTGGTCTAGTCTAGATACGGAGGTAAGGCCAGGAGAAGGCTGAAAAAGGTAAAAATTGATATTAAAAATGAAGGAATCAAGGGATTGAATGTATCTGAAGGTGAAGAGCAAGAATAACTAGTTGGAGTTGAGGGTGGTAAAAGCTGGAAGAATAGGAGGTCATAATAAAGAAAAGATAATAGTAGATTTTGATGGTGGTTCAATTCAGGTTATGACAAAGTTTAGTATCTGGCTGTGGGAGTGTGTAACTAAGGTAGAGTGAAGATGAAGGTTATTTGGTTTGAGGTCAAGAAACAAGCTAAAGTAGCAGGTGGATCATCTTCATAGACACTGACATAACTCAGGGCCCGATGGCAGGATGCGAGGCAGGGTGAGAAGGTTTTCAGTGAATGTATACAAGTTTCAAGGAGGTAGATGACAAATATATGGAAAGAAAAAAAGTAAAAGGTAGTGTAGTTGGATAGTGTAAACCTCAAAGAGAAAGGTTTTTTTTTTATATAAGGAAGGAGGAGTAATAGTTTGGAAATAGTATTAAAGATAGATAGCTTTCGTGTTGTGTTAGAAAACCTAAGGATAGTCAAATTCATGAGAATGACTATAGCAAAGTGCAATCTGAAATGGGAGTCTTTGATCTTAGCTTAACAAATTCAGCTAATGTTACTGCTAATGAGGTTCTGCAGCTCAGAAAATAGTTGTAAATATTCTAAAACGGCAGATTTTTTCTGTGGCACCTGATTAAATAGAACATCTATTTGATTTATTTATACTATCTTTTTAAAACTCCCTTCTTAAAGGGATATTTATTTCTCATTTTATATTTACCATCTCAAAGAAGCTTATATTCTGTTCCCTTATTAGGAGTGGGGAGCTAGGGAATTGTCCAAGTAGTGAAGTGTGGGCTGTGGAAATGTTTTCAGAGGAAACAGTGTCCTGGCTGAGTGCTGAGGGAGAGCCAGGTATGATGAGAATAAGAAGACAGAGAAGGCACACTTTGAAGAATATGAAGGTGTAGGTTTAGATTACCATGGAACAGAAGTGCTGGAAACTACAATTGAAAGATTTGGGAAGGATGGGATCAATGAAAGGGGGAAAGAAGCACAGAGAAGTATAGAGTACAAGAAAGAGTGGGGTGACTAAAGGGTCATTCATTCACACTTGAATGTAAGGTGTCAAGGTTTTGTCCAGGTCAGAAACATCCAAACCTTAAGAGAATTTTTATGAGTTTATTTGAGCCAAACTGATGACATGCTGGGAAGCAAGATCTCAAATGTTCTGGAGAATGAAGGTTTTGCAGTGTCTTGTATACATTTGGGATTAAGGAGTGAACATAAGGAAGATTGTATGAAGGTAGAGGAAAGCAAGGTCCAGGAGAGTTAACATTGTGCTCTCTAGATAAGGTGGTTATACCCGCAGGGAGTCTGGAAAAGAGGATTACTTCTGACATTTCAAAGGTCTATTAACCTAGATGCACAAAAACAATGGACTCTGCTTAAAATCCTTTCACTAAGGAAGTTCTAAGCCTGGACGTTCCTACCCACTCAGTTAAGAATTTATGATCAAATCACACTGCAAGGTTACTTTCGGCCAGTGAACCTGTACATACCCCCTTTTTTGTTCACATTCTAAAAAATATTAATTGAACTGTTTGTATGAAGTAGCACTGAGCACTGGAGATACTCAGATAGTATCTCAGCCTTTATTTATTAAGGATGTTTCAGAAAGCTTTCTGTATTAGGTTTCGGGATGGTATGGATTGCTTTCAAATTTATAGATATTATGATTTATCCTCATAAATGCCCCAAGCACTCTTCTGTCAGGACTATTTATATATGTGAATGAGGAACTGGAAAATAAAGGCAAGGCCTGAGAAAGGAAAAATCTAGAATTGTTTGTTTTCCACAGTCACAGAAGACAAGATAAATTTTATGACCATCAATGAGGGAGTAAATCTTAGATGTAGATGCAAGGTAAAAAGAGTGGGAAACTCTTATCTGTAGCAACTACAAAGGATCTCTGAAAAGAGACAGGGGTGGGTGTTAATGTATTTGGTGATGTAATAAATGTTATAAATGAATGTAATATAGAGAAACAAGAATCTCTTCCTGGGCTGATAAGCTGGGGTGGGGAAAATAAACTTGTGCTTGTGTCCAACTGTGTCCTGGAGATAGATCAGGTTGGAGCAGCAGCTATTGGGTATAGTTCCTTCTCTAAGCCTCTGATTTAGTTTCTTAGTTCTTAACATTATGGTATGTCTGAATGATTTCATGAATACTTTCTTTTGTTTTGCCCCCTCAGTGTAGTGTTCTTGAGTGCCTGAAAGAGCTACTGCAGAATTGGCTGTTGTGGCTTTCTATGGACATCCACAGGAAAACTGTGCTGGACAGTCCTCTGTGAGTCATCTTACAAATCTTCAAGTTCTATTATATAAATCAGAGAGCAAACCCTAAGTATATAAGTGACTTGAAAGAGTTAATACAGCAAAACATTGGAGAACTGACATTGGAACTTGCAACTTTGGCCTCCATTCAGTTTAGCTTACTTAATAAAATGTATTCTTATATGTAAAGTCAATTTTGATAATGGCTAGAAAAATCTGTAATTTTACGGTATAGTTTTGTTTTGTTTTGTTTTGTTTTGTTTTTGTTTTTCTGATGTATTTTGGTTATATATTAACTTATTTTCACCTTGAAATTAAAAAAAAATAAGCCCTGAATTTCCATTATGTTGATTATTGTTAAATGTATACTTTATCCTTAAGGTGGAAGTAAAAGACTGAATTTCAAGGAACTACCTAATCAGGTTGTTTTGACTCTACCTAAAATCTTTGGCTTCTCCCATATTCTGTTATCAACCACATTACTTTTAACATTAATTTATATACTTTGTATTGCAGAAGATTGCAAACACACTCAAAAGTAGAGAAAATAGTACAGTGTTACCCCATGTACACATCATCCCACTTCAGTAGTTATGTTTAACATTTTTTTCACCTATAATAACTCTTACTTTCCTCCTCCTCCATACTAGATTTTTTTTTTATAAATTTATTTTTAATTTATTTTTTTGGTGACATTGTTTAATGAAATCCAGTAAGTTTCTGGTGTACAATTTAACAGTAAGGCCAATATATATATTGCATTGTGTGTTTCCCTCCCATAGTTATTTTTCTTTCCATCACCGCATATTTGACTCCTTTTACCCCATCTCTCTCCTCCCTCCTCTTACCCTTCGGTAACCACTAGTCTATTGTCCATGTCCATGAGTCTCTGTTTGTTTGTCCTGTTTGTTTGTTGCTTTTAGGTTTATATCTCACATATA